CAAACGGCTCGTGCACTTGCGAGTATCACAAGTTGAGGATGCAGCTGAATCTATTTTGGTGCAGCTGAAATCCACACAACATATCCTTCACGAGGAGGTTTACATGACTCAACCCCATGGCTTTGAGAGCAAGCATCATCCCTCTGAATTTGTTTGCCGACTAAGGAAGTCTTTGTATGGTTTAAAACAGGCTCCTCGTGCCTGGAATGAGAGATTTACTAGTCTTTTTTTATTACCAAGTTTAGGTTTTACTGCATCAACTACAGATCCCTCTCTGTTTGTTCAACATTCTTCTCTTGGCATTGTGGTCTTACTCCTATATGTTGATGATATCATCCTCACAAGCAATGATTCCTCTCTTATTACATATGATATTGCAGCTTTGACCCAAGAATTTGATATGAAGGACTTAGGCCAGTTGAATTATTTTCTAGGGCTGTAAATTTCATATCAATCCACTGGTTTATTTGTGTCTCAAACTAAATATATTAAGGAATTACTTGATAAAGTTTATTTTCAGGATTCAAAATCATGTACAACTCCTTGCCTTCCCTATCACAGATTACTTAAAGATGATGGGAAGCCTTATTCTCATCCAGCACAATACAGGAGCATTGTTGGGGCTCTGCAATACCTCACCTTCACAAGCCCAGACATTGCCTTCTCAATGAATCAAGCTTGTCAATTCATGCATAATCCCATTGAATCTCATGTTGTGGCGGTTAAGAGAATCTTGAGGTATTTGAAAGACATCATTGATTTTGGAATTCATTTTCAACCTGGTCCTCTTAATCTGCAGTCTTATAGTGATGTTGACTGGGTTGGAGATCCTAATGATCGACGGTCTGTCTCGGGGTTTATCGTTTACTTAGTCCTATTTCTTGGGCTTCTAAGAAACAACATACCGTCTCCCGTTCATCCACTGAGGCTGAATATAGGGCCCTTGCTATTTCCGCTGCTGAGCTTGCCTGGATTAGACAACTGTTTTGTGATCTTCATGTGCCTTTACATATTCCTCCGTTGATTCATTGTGACAATATATCTGCTATTTCTCTTTCTTATAATCCAGTATTCCATTCAAGAATGAAGCATCTAGAAATAGATTACCACTTTGTTAGAGAGCGAGTTATCTGTGGTGATCTGCTTGTTCAACATGTATCTTCTGCAGACCAGTTTGCTGACATTCTCACTAAGGGTCTTTCTACTCCTTTGTTCCAGCAACATTGTTCCAATCTTATGCTTGGCTCCTCCAAGCATGCGCTTGAGGGGGGGATGTAAAGATATCAATGGTCCTAGTGATGCCACATGTAAGAAGATTGAAGAATAAAGCTATTGAGATATTGTTAGACCTGTTAGGCAGTTTAGGAAAACTGTTAGTATTAATAAGAGAAGTTTAGAGAAGTTAGAGAGGTTAGAAAACACGTGAACAAGGCTTTAACTCAGCTGATATAAAGTTTGTAATTTTGCTCAGTTGAGCTTAATAAGAAATACAACAAGTCTCTTCTCTATCTCTGAAATTCTCTCTGTTTCTCTTTGCTCTATTTCTTTTCAATCTTCCTATCTTAACACAATCGACCACATATGATTCACCAAACAAACGATTCTTTTTTTTTTTGGGTGCGGGTTGCTTTCGGTGTTCAAAAAGACGACATCAGATTTTTGATAGATCTACAATGTCAATGGAGATAAGAATGCGCGACAATGATGAGAGAGAGAAGACGAGGAAGTATCAGGAGAGAGAAGAGTGAGATCTATAGTTGCGAGAGAGATGATAAGATTTAAGCCCAGCCAATATAATAAAGAAACATGAAAAGGGCGAGTTATATAAGTTATATATATATATATATATATATATAAGTGCAGTCGGTTTGATTCAGTTGAACTATCGCATTTAAATTTTAAACTGTCGATTGGTCCAGTTCCATTTTGCACCAATCATCGAAAGAAAAAAAAACATAAGAAAAAAAGGAAACCAGACCAGCCGGTTTGGCCCATTTTTAGTGAACATTCCTATCCCTACTTTAAGCTATGACTATGTGTCATAACCCCTTGTATCTAGTGTCATCATTCTACCTTGTTAATTCAATTGGAGCCCTTATATTTTTGTTAAACATCTGACTGCCTATGTGTCTAATTGTGAATTTTCTGTAGTCAAATTTGGAACTACCTTATCATGTCATTAGAATTAAGCATTAAGTTATGCTAACGGGTTCTAACCCAATGGGAAAGGGCCTTAATTTGTAGGCTAATGGTCTTAGGTTTGAACTCTGATCGGTTCATAATTGTATATCATTTTGTACCCTTCTAGCTTAAGATTTGGTTATGTTATTGAGTTAAACTTGTGCTTTTAATTCATTTTCTGTTTTGATAAGTCCATAATTTCATACACTTGCA